AAACTGCGGATGGAACATATGATGGACGTGGGTTCAACGGGTTGGGTCGGAGTTTGTCGGGAAGGATTGGAGTGGTATTAGTCTGATTTGGTGAGGCAATGGTACTTGAGGGAGGTGCCAGTTGCACTTGAACACGGTTTCGCCTGATTTGTCTGGAGCCAGTTTTGATAAAGTAAGATCTAGGGCCCGCAGAGCCGATGATCTGTCTAGAGATCCACGCCCTTGAAGGTGAATTAGGGGGAGGCTTAGCATAGACGTAGCTTCCGGGTGGTAAGTCTGGAAGGAGTTGTCCTGCATGTTTGTCGTAAGCTTGCTTTTGCTGTAATTTGCGATGCAAATTCTCAGTTATTACTGTGTCGCGTTGAAACCTGGATGGTTCCAATGTAACCGACGGCTGAGGCAAATTGCTACGAAGAGCCCGACCAAAGAGTCGTTGAGCTGGAGAGAAGGTGTGACCGGAAGGGGGAGTGTTGCGTACTGACAAGAGAGCCAAGTCTACATCTTTAGCTGTGCGGAGAATGTGTTTGGCAGACTTCACAGCTGCTTCAGCACGACCATTGGATTGCGACCAGTATGGAGATGACGTGATGTGATTGAACTTGTATGTTTGNAGGTTCTCCCAGTTCACCCAGCCCCTCAAATAAATGGGGATAGTTAACTTTAATAGAATCAAAAGTCAACTCACCAAGAGGAGGTGAAGAAGGTGTGGAGGTGACATGGAGTTGATTTACAGTGTCAGCATCATAATTCAGGATACCCATGCAAGTACTATCAGTGAGACCCAGGAAGGGTGCATAGTAGCTTTGTGCAGTTATAACTTGAACCAGTACCTCATAGATTTTACCTTGGCAAGTACAATGCAATGTGGTTTGACCTCTAGTTGGGATGATGGATTTGGAGTAGCCAAGGAGATGAACACTGGAAGGTTCAACTTTGACAGGAGACATTTTTTGTAGATCTGTGACATGTATAGTGTTACATAAACACCCAGAGTCCACTTGAAATCGCATGTGGCAAGTTGCTGCTGGCAAGGGAGTTGGGCTAAGATCCAGATCCACAAAGATACCCTTGGGTGCAGACTGAACCTACGCTACATCGTGAGTGATGACATAAGCGGTGCTTGACTGAAAGCCTGTGTCTGCCTGGTACACTGTATTAGCAGTGAATGCTCGCCAAACTTGTTGCCAGTGGCCTCTTTTGCCGCAACGATGGCAAGTATCGTTAGCTGCTGGGCAGTCACGACGAGCAGTGTGTGGTGTGCGACTGCACCACAAGCAGGTAGGAGAAGCATGAGACTGTGAAGCAGGGAGACCATGTTGTTTGAAGGGACGGTGAGGAGTTCTGGACTTGATGGCATTGGGTGTGACCTTGTGAGCTGCATCAGTTGTTTCCTCATTTACTATGCTGGGTGTAAGCTGGTGGGCTGATTCCTTAAGCTGTTGTTTAGTGATGGCTGATTCGGTTTTGAGGCCAGCCTCAAAGTCCTGAGCCTTATTGATGACTTGTTCAAAGGTCAGAGAAGCCAGGTTCTCCCGTGAGAAGAAGTCGCTGCGAAAATGCTTGAAGGTGTCATTTAGCCCAATTACAAAAATGTCTCTCTGTAGCCTGTCATCGACTGCTGAAGGAAAGTTACATTTGTGGTACTCTAGTCGCACTACAGTATGCCACTGCTGAATACTCATCCCTGGGTCCTGTTTTAAAATGCAAAGAAAATTATGAGTGCATTGGATGATGGGTTCCTCGCCAAGATAGTGGCCGGAGAGTTAAGCTAACCATTTGGCAGGAGGTTGTTTATCTCCATTGGCGATTTTGGGAGTCGATGGTTGTGGTTAGTATGTCCCATTCCGCCTGAGGGAAAGCTCGTCAAAGAGCCACCATAACCTTAGGTCGTTTGGTTTGTATCCAGTAGTTGTCGCTATCCACATCTTTAGAGGGGTTGATGTATTCTTCCATGATGCAATAATCCCTGAAGTTTGCAATGAAGAATTTGAAAGCTTGACGACGATTCTCTGAGCTGGCGTCAAACTCAGGTCAATCCTTACCCATGATGTCGGAGGAGAAAAGAGTCCCAAACAACGATGTGTCAATCGAAGAGCGGTGAGAGGAGTAGATCAGTGAGTTCGGAAAATAGTCCAAACCGCGATGAGTCGATTGATGAGGGAGAGATGGCGAGTTCGAAGCATTTATAGAACAAGTCTGAATATAATCAGTCATGAGAGGCCAGGCTGAATTGTAGAAGCTTTGGGTTCTTCACTTCTGACACTATGTAATAAGATTCAAGAAGTCCTCACACATCTCATGAACGTATATGAATTGTTTAATGTTCATCAAGATGGCAGACCAGTTGAGCACATGGTTATTGGACCATGACCAAAAGGTGTAATGGGTAAATGTAACCCGCATGACGCATGACATGTAACAGTTACATGGCGAAAAACAGTAAAACATGCCTTTTCTGTTTTATACCTTGATAAAACATATGGGTTTTTGACCAATCAGAGTGTGCAGAAGGTCCTATCTATATTACTATTAGTTTTATAATATAGATAGGACTCTAGGCGTAGGATGGGATTTGGCATTTTTTTGCATATCTTGCACTTGAGCCTCGCTCTACAAGACCTTGATAAGTCTCCCTTCTCAAGGCAGCCAAAGCAAACCCCCTTTGATCTCAAGAAGGCTATTCACTCTTGTGCACTCTGCTTCATGAACTCCACACATTCCTCTAGACTATGGCTTCTTCAGCACATTAGACAATGCGCTGATGGTCAAATCGGTTTCTGGCCAGCATCTTCTCCAGTCGAAGTTACAAGGGTATTAGCTGATGGTGGACGCCTTATGCGAAATTTAAATGGCAAAGGTTATGATGTAAGAAGTGGAACAATGGCCAATGCTCGTAAAAATGTTGCGTACCCTGTTTGGATTGCAAATAGACTTCTGTTTCTCTAGTGCTATGCACTTCTTGTAAGAAATAAATAGAGAATTTTTTCAACTAAAGAAAAGTTTCTGTTCTGTTTTGATTATTAAACAAACCTCTTACATTTAGGGAGCAGACTGTTATATCGTCACCTTGCGTTTTTTTTTTGTGAAATAAAAAAAAGGGGTGGTGGATTTTCTTGTTTAATGTGCCAGGGGAGCAATTATACACTAGCTGAAAAATGTTGTAAACCGTATGCCCAAGGCAGGATGAAAATAATGGCAAAGTTGTAGAATAGGATAGAACACAGACACAGATACACATACTGACAGACAAAAAATAATAAAAACAACCTTTGCCAGGGATTAGCTTTCCGATCCTAACTTGAGCTTGAGATAGTTGGCTTTACGTCTCTAGAGCTCCTTCGGTGGTAATTGCAAATACATTAGTTGATGTAAATGTCACTTTAAGTTAACATCATGAAAGGACCAAGAAATTAGAAAGGATACTGTTACACTGTTTCACCAGGTGTAACATTATTCACTATTGAGAAACTATTTGTCTGGACAAGCTTTGCTGACAAAGGTGGTGTTGCTTTTTTCTCTTGTTCCCTGAAGTTTCGTCAGTTGTCCTTTCTGTGAGTCATACAGTGGCTTGGGGATATCGTCTTAAATATGGAAGTCAGTGCTCTTAAGATATATCCAAGCTTCATCCATCACCAGTTGTTATCACCATAACCCAAAAGTCTTGCAATAATTGGAGGTGGTCTTGCACCTTTGTTGGGTTTTCCTAGATGATGTACTCTTTGAAAATCTATTTTGTTGTGGGACTGGTCGATCTTGAGGTGTTCTTCTAAAAAGTTGTAAATAATTTTTTTTGGAGTCTTCTGTTGGAAGCTGTGCACCATCGTGGATTCTGTCACCACCATTTGAGGTGCTCAGTTCTTCTGGTAAGCCAAAAACTTTAACATTTTCTCTCCTAAAATAAGTTTCCATGTACAAAATCTGTTTCTTCAGTTCAAAGACTTTGTTTTGGACTTTCCTGAAATGTAGTTTCAGATCAGATATGTCTTCATCATAGAATTCCATATTTTGGTTGAGTACCTGGGGAACTTTTCCATTTCATTGGTTTTGTCTTTCAAAACCTTAACTTCTGCATCTAAGGGAGTTATGGTATTCTCTCACATGTTATCGTGCTTTATAAACACGAATTGATTTTCTCATGGTTATCATGGCTAGCGGTGTTGCTCGTGGGCATGTATGCACGACGATGATGAAGGAGTCGCGCAACATTGCGGCCATACTCCAGCTATAGCAAATGCAGCCTTGATTTACAGCATACATCTTTGATACTGGACATGTCATGGTTAATTGACACATGTCAAAACAAGGTATCCACTGACCAGTATCATGTGACCATGTCACGGGTTCAAGTTTGTAGCTTATTGAGGTCAATTGTCTTTTTGAAGTTGACCGCTGACCAGGTTTTCGATTGAATCGCAGGCTCAAGCCAGGTTTACATGTTGCAGTCAGGGCTGGGTTGTTCGGAAGCCGATTAACGCTAACCCAGGATTGAAATTTTACTGAAGTATGAATTTTACTTTCATAAAAATGCTCTTTGCTGCTTACGTTTTGTGTAGTTTGAGATTGTTCAAAGTCAGGCCAAACAATACAAACAGAAAACCTCACCACAAAGTTAGAAAACTCAATTTAAAATTCTCTCTTATCCTGGGTTAGCTTAATCAGGCTTTGAAGAACCCGGTCGAGAAGCGCAGCTTTTTATGGGTAAATCTATATATTACTACAGCTCAACTGGTAGAGCACTGCACTGGTACAGCAGTGGTCATAGGTTCATATCCCATTCAAGCCTCAATTTATGAGAATAAGCTCTGTTCTCTCTATTTGTTATTCTGGTTAAGTTTTGTTCATAACTGCTATGATCATTCATGTCTTTAATTTTATCTCTGTGTGGTTCAAATATATGATCTTTCATATGTTCATTTGCAAAGCAATACATAAATATTATCAATATTAATTGTGTTGAATTAAAGTTGTTCTCTCCTTTGTGTTTTAATTTCTGTATTTAGACCTGGATAGTTCCACTGCTTTATCATCTTCGTCATGGGTGCAGACTGATTAGAGAACACTTGGCTCAGGTCAGTTTGATATTAATTCAACCCACAGACTCCTAACAGACCAAAACTGGCGTTCAGAGAACTTTTGCCACTTCTGACAGCATCAGGCTTTTGATGCCAGATGTTTTCTATTATCAGCTGACAAATAACTGAGAAAGGAGCCTTTCGGAGTGTTCCTAAATCACTGGTGTATTTTTTTGCTGGTCTGTACTATCATAAAATCAGAAATAGAAACCCTAACTATTCAATAAATATGCTTCATATAAAACCACATTGTTTCAAGTTTAAAAGACTTGTTTTAGATAACCTTCATCCATCTTCAGGTTCAAATGTAAATTAGATTGTTTGATGTGACATAAATACAAGGTGCATATGATATTAATTACTAAAATAACAACATGGACATGAATTACTAAAATACACTGGTGCTGAAAAATCAAAAGGACTGAAAACGTGAAATTGACAAGGTTAATTAAAATGAGAGTGATAGATTGATATTGTAATGTTCTTACATGGAACAATTACATTCTAAACAACAGAAATTTACATTGTAACTGAAAAAAATTAATTTAAACCAACTTGTGGCCATTGCTGTGTTCTTGCATTATTGCAAATGTATACATACATACAGACAGACATACATGCATGTACTTTATTTCCTCTCGAATTTTAGGTAGCTGAAATTAGCAAATATTTTTAAGAACAATATAACAAAATACAATACTTATGCAATGAATAAATTATGTTAAAAATAATGAAAGAGCTAAACTTGTACATAATAAAACTAGAGACAAGTTTAACAATGCTACTGAAAAGAGTCATATTGTAGTATCTTTTGCTTAAAATCCGAAAAAGTAGAGGTTCTAAGTGAGTTCGGAAGAGAGTTTCATAATTTAGCAGCTAAATATGAAAGGGAATGCAGGTCGTAAGTTGTTGTTTTTGGATCAGGTAGAGACAATATAATTACTGCTTAAACTATAGGTTGTAGGTTTACTCTATAGGGTAGCATCCTTGATCTACAGAGGCATTCAGAATCTTAGCAATGGGCTTAGCTATTACAGCTGCCAATTCTTTGACAAGCTTCTTTTTCAGGCTTTAATTTCATAACTGCTTAAATTGTGTGTATAACTGTGATGATCAATTATGTCGTCATACAAAATTGGCATGTTTGGCACCTCATGTTTCTTCCTTTGCATGGTGTGTTTTGCATATAAGCCACACCTTTCTACTCAAAACTTTCCTTAAAAATCAGGGATGTGGCTTATCTGCAAGAACATCTGGACAATGTGCTATAAACAAAGAGAAGAATGATCATCGCAGTAAATTTTCCAATTTAAGCAATTGAAAAGAAGAAGCCTGAAAAAAATCAGGGATTCAATGGGATTTGAACCCGTGACTTCTGCAAATACCGGTGCGATGCTCTACCAACTGAGCTATGAAGCCACACATTGGGAGCGAGGTCAATTAATTGAGTTCATATCTTCCCATGAGGAGTGGAAATGATGGGAAGTATATATGAATTATTTCATATATACTTCACATCATTTCACTCCTCACGGGAAGATATGAACTCAGTTAAAACAAACAACAAACAAACAAATGAAAGAGTTCTTGTCATTGTATGTAAAAGTCTGTTGAAAAACTGATGGGAATGAAAAAAAAATACTACTTCAAAATTACTAGAGAAAGATCAAACATATTTCAAAGTCAGTAGACATCATGTCCATACTATATATTGTAGAACTAAGATTATAGGTAAGAGTTTCAGTTTGAAGTATTCTCTGTTTTTAATGTAGCAACTTTATGTGGGTTTACATTGAATTAATCAAGAAATGTACATGTAAAGCATCTTTCTCAAGACTTTCTTTCCAAAAAATTTTTTCCAAAATTTGAGTTGCCAAACTCGAGGTGTGGCTTATCTGCAAGTGTGGCTTATCCACAGGTGTTTACAGTATATCATCTCTGTAGCCACCATCCTTTGTTACACATCTTAATCTTGTGGCAAACTGCTTCACTGTTTCTTCAGACACTTAGGATAGTTGTCTAAACGATTTTCATGTGTATGTTATGCCAACTTGTGAAATGAAATAGGCATTTAAAGCATTGATGGCACATTTTGTAGTCCTTCAGATCACTGGTGTTCAGGAGCATAGAAAATATTTCTTTTACATCTGGGCCAGCTAGGTGAAGAAGAAGAGCACGTCTTCATTGTCTGTTGTTTGTGTTGTCTTTGTTGATTATTAGGCCTTTGCCATCTGCAAAGAGTTCAAAAGTGGTAAGCCAAAACTTCTATAGGAATCCAAACAAGTCACATTCATGAACCAGTTACCACAAGTACTCTTTTTCCCATGCACAATAAGGGAATGGAATTCGGTTGTTCCAGAAAAAATTCACACTTCCCCGACAAATCGGTTTCTGGAAATTCTCTCGGGAGAGGGGCCAAAGACTATAGAAATCCAGGCAGGAGGAGGGGGGTGAACCTAAAAAAACTTCTTTGGGATCATTTCCAACCGAATGTTGCGCAAAACTTTGAGATGTGTGACATGTGACACTTAAGCACTCTCTGTATCTGTAAAAAGGTGAAATCTTTCAGTTATATCTTTCTCTCCTGATACTGTAGAAAAATATGTTAAAGCCCTGGGCTTATATAACTTCATAAGGGCTTTTTGGTGGACTTATAAATGGAGGGCTTATAACCAGAGGAGGCATATAAGCAGAGTAAAAAAATGTTTCAGAACAACAGTTTAAAACGTATCTGAGAAACTGAGCAATTACATTAATAATACATTTATTGTGTGTCACAATAAATGGAGAATTTATTTCAAAAACATCTATAAAACACTAATGCAACTGGAACAGCTGTGGAATAATTGGAATAGTTGTGTTGGAAATGAGCAGTGGAAGAGAACTCATAACGTTGTTATATATGCATGAACGTTTGTTTCTTTCTTTAGTATTGTTATAATTATTGTTCTAAACTCCACAGGCACTTTTTTATGCCCATAACTTTTAATTAAAAAAATCTATTTTTTTTTAAGAAATGCAAAAGTAAGGCACTTATACATAAGATAGGCTTATTTTGGGGTAGGGGCTTATATCCAGGGGACTTATAACCGGGGGGCTTTAACATGAGATTTTACGGTATACTTCCATAATCACAGTAAACATGTAGTGTAACGTCAGGCTCATGGTGACTGTTGAAAGGCTGAATTGTCACTTGCCAGACAACTTGTCGTGATGAGACTAGCGTGTGTGGGAGATGCTTTACTAATCGAATAAAGCCAGAGATCAAGGCAAATCAGCTGTGATTGACGGTGATTTAATTGACGATAATCAAACGTAAACTGAAATATAATGCAGTGAATAAACTAATTACTAGATAATAGAAGATTACAAGATGACAAGAGTCACAAAACAATAATAGCAAACATTGCAATCATAACTGCGATGTGACAATACTTCCCGTCAAACTTCTCTAATTAAAAATCATCATAAATGATTGACGGTGATTTAATTGACGATAATCAAACGTAAACTGAAATATAATTCAGTGAATAAACTAATTACTAGATAATAGAAGATTACAAGATGACAAGAGTCACAAAACAGTAATAGCAAACATTGCAATCATAACTGCAATGTGACAATACTTCCCGTCAAACTTCTCTAATTAAAAATCATCAGTGATCCCAATCAGATATACATACTCTTAACTGTCCTAATACAATAAATGATAACACTCTAAAATCTTGAAAGCAATAAAATTGCATGATGCGATAAAAACGTGCTTGCGAAAGCACCACTGAAAGCAATGTGGGAATTTACCAGCAAGGAAAGAACTTTTAACTGAATTACCAGAGATTCTTATAGGAAACTGCTAAATAGAAAGCTAAATAGAAAGCTAAGCTAGGGGGAGTATAAACTATAAAGATCTATCACTAAAACAAGATGAAATAAAAACTCTGAAAACTGAGGTTCTGCCATGTGTTGGACTCAGAACAATAGGCTGTTGTATAAAAAAACCAAGACTAAAGGTACTTTAGGTTAAAAAACGTCCAAACTTGAAACTTATACTAAAAAACAAGCATAGAAAATAGTTTGTACTTACACATTGGTTTCCACTTGCACTCTAAATAGTCAAGGGTAACTTAAAACTTAATTTACTTAAAAACACGTACTGTGCACGATAACTGAAACTTGAACTACTGGTGGGAATATGCCGCTAACACTATCTAGATACGTCCACATGTAAAAACTAATGACGTCATTGCTAAGCAACAAATTGGCAAATCAGAAAGAATCAAGATTACTCACTTGATTAGAGAAGCCTCGATATAGTGTTCATTGTATGCAGAAAATGTGACAAAAAGACAAACATGAAGCAAGCCATCGCAACAAAGCTCTATTTTGTATTTTCTTTTAACAAACTGATGTGGTTTTGCTCTGTATGGTCTATGATTTTGGTTTATTGACTGGTAGTTATTTATCTCTGGGTACTTTTGATCCTCGTCCCCAAAGTAATGTTCTTTGATGGCAGGATTGCCTGCTAAACAACACAGATTTAACTGACCACAATTTAGTTAGAACAACACCTGGCCATTGGTAAGTCTTTTCCTTACCATCGTGCATTGGTGTCTTTGCAATAGAGGGGCACTGGTTACTAACAACAGTACAGACATGATTAGGTTTTCCCAACCAATGTGTAATGCCTCCTTGATTTCAAGTTGGAAAGAAGTGGAGGCAATGTCAAGAACTGAGAAACAATCTTTGGTGTTGAACAATGGGCCGAAATCCTCACAGGAATTCAATAATTAATCCCCCCTCTGGTCCCTTTCTGGTCACTTGCCATTTCCTAGCAAGCTGAATCTCATTGTTTTGTTCAGTTGCTTGGGTTTCTGCCAATTTTATTTTCAACTGTTTTCATCGCCTTTTATTGTACATTCTACAACTTTTCAATGACTTCAGCAGCCGGGAGAAGATCAAAAAAGCCACTGGCCTTACTTTCAGGCTTTCAATTTGACATTCCTTTGCTTTGAGGAGTTGGAAATGCTGAACAAGTTGATCCAGATGTGACTGCTGTCAGCCATGATGAAATGCCACGTGCAAGAACTCTCAGCGAGTTTCCCACTCCCACAAACCGTGGCAAACAAAGCGCTGACCTTCGACTCCTTGCACTCCAGATCGAGCAACAAAAGTTGAAGATTAAGAAACTGGAGCTCGAAGCTCGAATCAAGGCCAACACCAAGTCAGCACTTGTCAAACCTGAAACTGTGCTGTTGTTATCAACAGTCTGTGAAAGTCTAAACAGTGGTAAGTCCTTGGGACAGTTTGATTACAATGTTAGAATAGTGGCCCCCCAAGAATGGCCGCATTTAAATGTCTCTTTTGCCCTAGCAAAAAATAAATTTAAGGTTCTGTCTCTGGCCAAATTCGTGTATGGTCATTTAATTATTATGCGGTTGCCAGCGATGAGCAACAAGAGGTCATGTCAACCCATTTAATGGCATTGATGCGTTTGGCAGCCAAGTTTCAATGGCTTTCTGTTCTGTCATTTCATGCTGCAGTTCTTGATCGAATCGAGGCTGGTTTAGCTTCCTGAGGAGATGATTTCATGGAGCTCGAGCGGTTTAACATCACAGAATCTGATTGTTTGCCTTTAGCTACCAAGCAACAAAATCAGTCCACAGCTTGTCCGCCAGGTTTTACACCTAAAACATATTGTAAAGAATGGTACTGACCTGGCACTTGCTCCAACCAATCTCACCAGGTTGGCATTGAGCATGTGTGTGCATATTGCAAATTGCCTGATCATACAATCACTTCCTGCCCTACTTGACCGGCAACCACAAACGCATCACTGGTTGCAAGTCCCAGCTTGGCCTGACCAGGCCACCAGGCAGATACAGACAATGTCAAGTTTCCTTCTTCACTACAATCATCTGACCAAATTACCACTAATACAAACACTCCTGTATCATCTGTAAATATATCGTGTAGTTCTCCCTCTGTCTCCATTCAAGCAGATTGTGCTTCACCTTCAGACAAGTCTCTGCCTCATGGGCAACTTAATCTTTCCGCTTCTCATTCGATTTCCGCTGTCATCAGACACATAATTTGCAGCAAACACACCCAGCCAAATGCTTTTGGCACCCGAATAGTCGTTCCATCCTGCCTGAATTTACCTGCTTGGCAAGCCTGTCTGACCAATTATCATGACTCCGACATCGTCTTATTCTTAGCTCGTGGTTGGCCAGGAAATAACTGTTTGTCATCTGATCCTGCATTCTTCGATTCCAATCATTCCTCTGCCATAAATTTCGTTCAAACTGTTGACAAAGATGAAACAAAACACCGCATTGTTTTAGACCTTAGTTTTCCACCTGGTTGTTCTGTCAATGATGGCATACCCAAAAATACCTTCCTCAACGTTCCTTTTCACTTGACTCTACCTCGATCAGCAGACTTTGTGAATATCATCTTGTCCAAAGGCCCTGGTTCTTTTTTGTGCAAAAAAGACCTAAAACGTGCTGATAGACAAATCCCTGTCGACCCAAAAGACTACACGTTTCTTGGTTACAGATGGAGGGACAACTACTATTTTGATCTTGTTTTACCATTTGAACTGAGGTCTGCAACCATGACCTGTCAGCATACGACAACAGCCATAGCTTACATGTGTAACTCAGAACTTAACTATGCCTGTATTAATTATGTTGATGACTTCGGAGGCATGGAGAAGGATTACAAAACTGCTTCTACTGCCTTCTTGAGCTAGGAAACTTGTTTCAAAGATTTGGCTTAAAATCTTCTCTGTCCAAAGACTGGGTACCTTCCACATGCATGCCCTTTCTCGGTTTGGTTTATGACACTGTCAAAATGTCTATTGAATTGCCCCAAGATAAACTTGACAGTATTACCCTGCTTGTCGGCACCTGGATGAATACTTCTAGCGCAACGAAAACCACGCTTCAATCCTTGATCGGCAAATTGGCTTTTGTCTCCACTTGTAACAGTCCAGGCCACATTTTTATGCAACGCCTGCTAAACAAACTGCGCATGCTCACTCATAAACAGCAACTCCTCCATGGAACTGGCGGGTTTTATGAGGGTTTTTTTTTTTATGCCACCTACCCTCATTTCATCACTAAACAGTCTCTGCATATCAACACCCTCGAAATCCATGCAGTCACTGTCAGCATCAAACTGTGGGCTTTTTGTTTTGCCTTGTCAGTGCATCCTAGTACTCACTGATAACAAGAGTACAGAGCTTGCTCTCAACTTCAGGAAATCATGTGTTCCTTTCACACCAGCTTGCTTGCGCGAACTCTGGCTTTACGCAGATCGCGATGATTTCAAGATCAGTGCACATCACATCGCAGGCTCCCAGAACGTCATCGCCAATTGTCTGAGCAGCTGGGACTTGAACACCTCTTATCAACAGCAGTTTTATGACACTGTATTACCATTGTATGGTTCCGTCACTGAGGAACATTGTACACCCGAAATGGTCTCTTTCAAATGCCCACAGTATATCGAACGCGGCCTATTACCTGCCCATTTTGTTAAACATGTCCATTTACACAAACAGGCAGCATTTTTTGACCAAAAGATTAAGTATACAGAGCACGTTCTTAGTAAATGATTCTTCGTAATATGTCCTTGAATCTCCAAAACCCTGATGAATTTGAGACTTGTCATCAAATTGGGGAAAAAGCACAACGTTTGCAAAAAAATGGCACTCTCTTGAAGAATCCAATATGGTGGACGGAGCTCCAAAGACCGTGCTAAATGTATGCATGCATAAATTTGCATGCACAAATGTGACACCAAAACAGAGAAATTGAGCCCAATCCTTAACTCATGCGCCATACTGCGCATGAGTAATTAACAAAAATAAAAGTAAGTTATCTTTTGACCTATGTGACAACTTGAGCTACATATATGTGCCAAATAATATTATTATAATATACTGTATTACGAAAGGAACAAGTTAAAACTTGATAAAATGCTTAACTCTCACATGTTTTTTAATCTGACGAATCTAAAAACTTAGAAGGATGAGTAATTTTTATTGTGGAATATGACATGTCAAACGTAAACTGGCAATTGTTAGTCCACTTTTTATTCAATTAAAAATCACATTGCCTTCTTCAAATCAATAAGATTTTCTACCTAACATATTTTTCAGCATTGTCTTCCAAAGTTTTTCAAGTGCTGCCCTGAAAGCCTGCAGTTTATTGTTGAAGATCTGCAAGACAGTTATGGTATGAGGTTACTATAGATATGTATTGAAAATAAATGTACTGAGGATAGTAATTGGCCTTCCATAGAAAATTGTGGTGTTTTTGGAAACCATTGCAGAATGTGTGCCCTAAAAAATCATAATGGATGTTTCATTTGAAACATGTCTGGTCAATTTATAAATATAACTTTCAAACACATTGTGTGGTTTCTGAAAGCTATATATGGTAGGTATGGGAAATGTTCCAAACAAGATGGCGGCCATTTAGATGGCAAATTTTCTCTGTCAGAGCTAAATGTATGGAAGCAAAAACACCGTTTTCTGCTATAACCAGGCGGATAATGAATGACTGTTGCCATTTCGCTCTCATTACTTTTGCAGGACTGGGAATTTCAGACTGGGAATTTGCTCTTTAGGGGGTTACATGTCATAAGTGTCTAATTACCATTTTGCCTACTTTTTCATTTGTAGAAAATTCATTTGTGATTTATGGTCTAAAAAGGGTACAAACAAAATATTTTCAGTGCACATGTAGTCAACCACGTCAACTGACTAACTTGATTTTAGTAGTAAAAAGGGAAAAAATTAACTAGACCCTTCAGCTGTACTAGATTTTCTGCTTCAAGGATTTTATGATACTCTCTGTTTGCATGATTTTTCCACTTAGCCCCTCCTACATGTACTCTTAAGAAATTTCATATCCATGCAAATATGTTGCTGGGGCTACTTCCATTTATACGCTATGAGTAAGTATGTGCTGAGGATAGGGTCTGTTTTTGAGGTTCTTGATCCCTAAATAGGGTATCATTTTTGTCCCTCTCGGCATTGTGTTCCCAATGTGATCCTTAGATAAGGTACGCAAATTGTATCAGAAAATTGCAGTGCCTAAAATAATGCCCAGCAAAATGGAAAAGAAATTATATGCTTGACTCCTAAGGATATTCACGTGAAAATTTTCCATTTGATAGATTTTTTTAAACTTCTGCTGCAGTCAGGTAGTGAGTTACTTGTGTCAGAAATGCAAACTTCATTTCAGAGATAAAGCGTGTGGAAAACTACCCTGATTTTGAAAAATTGGCACACATAATTCAGCATGGTCTACAGGGGTTTATAGCTAAAAAAAATTGAAGGTGAGTCAAGGGAAGCAAACGATCTTAGTCCTATTTTGTAGAAGTGGGTCTGTTGCATAAATAATTCCAAATGTTACCAACATTTTCACAAAACTTAACCCTTCAAACGGCATTTGAAAACATAGTACAGATAAATGAAGAGCTAAAAAGAAAGGAATTTGATGGTGCATTTGGCCAAAAATTCAAACCTCTAGTCAATAGATTTTTTCATTTTTTGGCTAAACATAGAAAATCGGTGGAGAAAATGATCCATCAGAAGAAAAATTTGGGTTACTGGTTGTCCAAGATCATTAAATCCAGGCAAAGCATTTTATCACTCTGCATGGTCTCATGCATGATGTGCCGTATGAATTTACATGCGCAGTAAGGATGTGCAGAAACAATTAGTGCGAACGTCCTTAACTTCTCATGTTACAGAAACAAAATAAAGTAAACCCATTAAAGTCATTCTTAGTTTTTGTTTTTTTCCATCCAGTGGGTGTCATTTTTGGGGTCTGGGCCTTAAGAATGGCTGACTGTTGGGATTGAGAAAGGCCGGTCTATGACCAATTTGGCAAATCAATCATATTTTGCCCAAAGAAACCCCTAGGTGACCTTTTTCTGAAAACTGTATTTAAAGTTAGTGAATTTTTACTCCTTAAAAATATGTGAAAATTTGAAAGCACAGTCAAAGTGCACTTTTTTGTGTAATGAAATTGCAAGGACGAAACGCTGCTTAAGTCTTAAAATAAATTTAATTGACTTCAAACTTCACACAAATGTGGAACCACTCCAATTTACTCTTTGCTTTAAACTAATCTCAGATATGTTAAGATAGTGGTTTTGCAAACCATTTTAAAAACACCTCTGACATGTGTTAAAAATGGTAGCAAACTGTAGGTCTTGTTTAAAAATGCATCTTGTACCTCACTTTTCAATTATTTTACTTTCCTGCTTGAAAATATCCATGTTAAACATTTACCATGCCAAGTGTCATGTTCAAACATGCGATGCATCTCGCTGAAAAATTTGAAAATGTATGTAACATACTCAGCTCAAATGACACTCAATGTATTTGTTATAAAAAATTAAAGATCAAAAATTAATCTACATCCTGTCTATTAACAGCTTAGACCTTTGGAAATATCCTCTTGCCAGTGATCACCAGTATGATCTACTGCAAGTCTAATTCAAGCTTGGAATTCCTCTAGGTCTAGTATCATCAGCTGAAATTTGCGAGTGCTTATGAAGTATGCAAATCAATTGACAAGTTAGTGCAAAACATTTTAAATCCAAATTTCCTTAATTCTAGCCTTCTTAAAATTTCGCAGTTTTAAATGCGTGGATACGCGAAGCGTAGAAATGTGTTTGTTGCGGGGACTCTGATATGCAAATGTGTCACTCACTCAGGTGTAGACACTGTTCGTAATTAGTCGACCCGGACGAGACGTTAAATAGTAACGAAGCCAGACACCATATTGGAATGGTAACCGAGCCTTAAGCCATGTTGGAAAAATAACCTTGCAGTCGGTACTAGGTTTGCAGCCCAAAATGATGATTTTGTAGCTTTTACACAACCACTAGGTGTTTTGCTAAATTGAAGTGGAGTTCGAATGTTTGAATTAGTACTATAGCCAACTTGAATGCTGAATTTCATAAGCCTTTGACTCATCCAGGCGTTAAAGGTCATTACCAGGAGATGAGAATGTGTCTTATTCGTCGACCTTAATGAACTTGTATGAGGGAAGGGAACAATTTTCAATGAACAAAACAGCTATTGAAAACAGGACAAACATCGGCACCATAATATAATATTGTAATTTAATTTTTGTAATTTATTAGTAACATCTAAACCTGAGGCCAGCCGAAATATTGTTTTAAATATGTGACGTTGTGTCAGCCCTGCAGTGGTCTTTGACTTATTATCGCTTTGCTTCTCACGTTTGGCTGATTATAGATCTCCTGTGAGATCCAGTGCTCACTCAAGCAGCACTTTCACTCACAGCTTTGCAGTTTGTATCAAGTTTTTCATGTTGAGTTGTCCATGTTCAATCAACATTGAGTTCAGTTTAGATTAAAGTTGTGTTCTCTATACTTGTCGTGTTTATTTTAGTACACTGATCTGAACTCTAAGTGGGATGTGAAATGCACATAAACCTGGAAAGAAATTCCCAAATACTTGATGTTGATAAGCTCAAATGATTTTTACCCTGTCTTTTGTTTACACTTTTTCTTCTTGATTGAAAAGATAACTAAAGGAAAGAAAACCCCTGTGAACTTGTTGGAACACATATTTATGGGTCGACAGATTTTTTGGATACCAGTTTATTTTTGTTTATTTTATTTTTGAAAATTTAATTTACATATTTTTCTCATAATTGTTATAATTATGCGATGTTCCGGGATGTTCCATGTTCCAGGTTTTATTGATGGTGTTTTATGGATCAACAATGAAAATGCTTGCTAAAGAGGCTACTTATTTTGATGTATTTTACATGCAATATATAGAGGCAAGTGGTTTCACATTGGAAAAGAAGTGCTGTCTCATAAGAAACCTTACCTATAGCCTTGAATGAAATACAGTGAAAAACGTGTGTAAGCTTGTATGACTTAAATACATGCAAATTTTCCCAGCAGGCAGACAAACATCAACATCAAGATCTGAGTGTGGGAGGAAGGGGGAGAGGGGTGCACTCTATGACTGTTTGGACAGCAGTGTCCTCTATGACCCAAGAACCCTTAGCCTTTACCACTCCATGTTCAGCTGCAGTTTTGCCACCTTAGCTATTCTGGACACATGTCTGTAATATGTGTGCAATAAAAGCCTACGCTTTGTGAGAAAAGTGCCACCTTGCATGGTACGAACCCGGTTTGTTTTAACAGCCTTTAATAATACACCAGTAATTGCAAGCTCGCCAACATGTTTCATCTCTAGATTACCAAATCCATGAGTTTGGCCATAGGTCTCCTTTGATTTTAATAATGAAATAAACTGAGTATCGTGTAAGTTTAAAGCAGTTCACAAAAGAGGTTTGAACTACCTGAACTTACTTGTGAACAATAACTCGTGGGAACTATTTATCATGTCATGCCCTTTTTATATGGTTAGTCATGTTGGTCGCTATGTGGAATGCTTGACAATACACTAAGACAATATACTTCTAGCTAAGGGGCGGACATAAAGTACAGAAGGGGGTGAGCCAGAAAAATCTAATTTCTGGCAGACACCGTTTTAGTGGCCCACCCTTTCTAGTTAACACAAAAATTGTAGCCCACCCTTTAAATCCTAACACAAAAATGAGTGACCGACCCCCTCATCCCGTTACAAGGGGCATCATCAATACTAAACAATAGAATCAGGCAGAGTCTCCTTAGGAGTGGTGGGTCAAATATGTTGTACATGGCCTTCTAGTTCTGGAGTTGTGAGGCTGTAATATCTTGTCATTCTCTGAATCGTTTCCATTGTCCTCACTGAACTTGCCAAATTCAAGTGAAACTACATCAGCCTCTTCACTAGAGACATCACTGTTCATCATCTGTAGCTTCATTATCTTTATCAAGAATTCCACTCTGTTCAGTGTTGTATCTTGTATTCTAAATTTAAATGTAAATATTATTTTGTCATTAAAATGATAATAAAAACTAAAACTAAAAATAAAACTAATAAAAATTGCATTTAAAATTAACCTTACAATTTTTTTTTTAAATAGAGAGGGATTGACTGGTAGCATTTTCTTTTGGGAGTTTGATCCATTCAGTTGTTGTCCTTGGAAAGAAAGAGAATCTAAAAATATCCTTGAGTCCTTTTGGTACAATAAACTTAAAGTCCTGGCTTCCCTGTGTTCTCCCTTCTTTATTTGGAATCAAATAGTGCTACCATTTCCCGTCTAAGAAACCATGGCACATCTTAAAC